AAACTATGACCAGTATTTTTTTTCGAATGAGGGTGGTTTAGATTGAATTATATTCCATTGGAGGTATTCTGAGCCCAGTTGGGTTTCGCATTTGTTGCTAAGGGAATTGTGAGCAATACAACATATAATTTGCAATAGCTTATTTTATCAGATTCTATTTGACTAAGCGCTGCTGTGGTAGGGAACCGTGATTTTCAAGGCTTGAAACATTGTCTCTGATATCAGATGATGGACAATGTTTCAATAAATGGTATTTTTTGAAAAAAATATATCGAGATCTATACAACGTTCAAATAAAAAGAGAATTTTTAAAAAAATATCAAACTTATTAATTGATTGCGCGAAGAACTTCGTTTGGGTGTTTTAAGTGTTAGCGGTAGCAATAAAACAAAAAATATATGTGAAAATAATCTAGTAACCATTTTTGGTGCTAGTTTGTCAGTGTAAGACTAATAACGAATATTTGCCTATTGTTGATCAATGGGGCAAGAACTATTGTATTTTTATTAATACCTACCGTAGCACAAATCTGCCATAGGTATTTTTCAAATTTCATTTGAGCACTGCTAACGACGACATACTTCAGGAGTGTCTAGATGGAGGGGAGTAAATTGAATTTAATGAGGAAATCAAGCGAACTTTAATCGTTTAGAATTTAAGCTAACTCCATATTCTTTCACCTTCATTCGGGTACTTCACTGCTTAATGCTTTGGGTTGTAAGCATCCAATTTTATTTATATAATTGACGAGTTCCTGTTTGGATTAAGCATTTTATTCATTTTGTTTAGTGTTAATTTAATGACCACGCTAACAGTTTGATACTATTGTTCCTCATTTTGATATAAAAGAGGTAATTTAAGTTGAACCCACAACTATCTCGAACTACTTTAGGGTACTTTCATCAGTTAAATTTATTTTATTTGCTTTAACTAAGGAAAAAGAAAAGTGAAGCCCAAACGTGATCTATTTAAAATCCTTATTCACTTAGATAAATTAGGTCACGTCAGGTTGTAATAGAGGGTTTCCACGGTGGGCATTGGGGATATTTGTTTAAATGATTGGCGAGGGAGAGGTGGCATATTTTAAAAGATTGGTTGTCTTTGATAATGGATTGACAGTAATATTTGTATTCCTGCTGCTATATAATATGCATCCGTAGTAGAATAAGGATTAGTTTCACTATTTATTGTCGGATAATAAATAGTCATCTAATTTTTAGCTAAGAGGAGTAAAAAGATGGAAATGATGATGCTGTAACGACTATTAACAGGCTAATTTTTTTTGAGTGAATACGCAAAGCGTTATATAGATAAGTATAGGTTCAGTAGCACTAGAAAAGAGCTCACTGAATAATCTGTTTGTAGAAGTTGAGCAATAGAAACGTGTTTATGGAAGCTGATTGTAGAATAGTATTGGTCGAGGTTGACTGTGGAGAGTGTAAGAGGGGTCTTCAAAACGAAAGCAAGAGTATCCAACCCCCATTGGACTTTAGAATTGTCAAACTTTCCAAGTTTATACGATCTTTTTTTCAGTCAGTATCTCAAGTCAAACCATTATCATTAATCAATAAATTGAATTTCCCACATTAACAATGTTGTGAGTCAAGTAGGTAGCCTATACGCACGTTCTTTGGGCTGTTTTCTAAAATGACATTGTAAGCAGCTTATGGAATTTTCATCATCTGCTTGCATGGTGGGAAAAATAGCATATTTCTTGTGCAGTTTCTCTCTAGACCAACCAGGTATGAAGTAATGACATTTACGCAGGTGTTTTATCACAACAAGTAATTATTTCACATACACGCAAACTCTTTCAGTGGAATGAAGATCCAAAATTGACATATAGGTCATCAATAGTTGCTATTCCAAATCGAAGAAAAACATCATTTTGAGCTCGGTCTTGCCTTTAAGACTAGCTAGTACTACTCACAACTCAAAGAGAGTTTATGTAATTTAGGTCAGAAAGCGTCAAATGATCGTTTAAAATTTGAAGAGGATGAACATTAGTGGGCGGGCTGTTTACAATTCTTGTAAACATGTTTCACACTGCTCTATTTCTTACTTGAATGAAAAATCTGGCTTAATGATATCTAATCTTGATAATTAGCCTCTTAAACTACATTGATTTGCGTTTTATTCTTTGTCTTCAGTCTGGCAAAGTTGGAATAAGTATGATTATGAAAATTTCAATGAATGCATATCTTCGCCCTTTAAAGCCAGTACCAAAGGCAATTTGATTCGAAATCTCACGAAATACAAATTTAACATCAAAGTGATTCCGATCACAGCTGGAGCTGTGTAAAATTTAGCTTTCGCTTTACTGAGCTCTATACGGCCCTTGTCTCATTTGTGTTCTTAATGCAATTTAATAGTTCAAACGAACCAACCTAATACTTCCTTTGGCGATCATGATTAACTATTACCAAAAGCTGAAAATGGGAGTCTGAAAAGCCGTTGCTATTCTGATCGCACAATTATAGAATTGTATCAGTCCCGTATTATTCCACCAAAAGATATTCCATTAAGAATTTGTTTTCTGTTAACAGCTTCTGCAAAATGTTGTTTACTCTAAGTCGAACATAGGCACAAAACTTCTGTAGGTTTTAATAATTATATTAAAAAGAAAAACTTTTTCTTAACCATGAATAGTTTTTACTTAATAATTACTCCAAATAAGTGAATTATCGATAACGCTCATGAATACGATATACTACTACCATGTCAGTGTCTTAGAGACATGGCTTGTTCCACAACCCCCCCCCCCCCAAGTGGCATCTGCAGCGGTGGTATTATTTGTGCACAGCCACACACACTAATCTTTCACATAACTAAACACGATCAACTTGTAAGTGGGCAAGGAGAGACAATCACCATTGGAATTCATCCGACCTTAGCAGCACACGCAGTAGCTAATTTTCGAAATTTCATTTAGCTTTTTAAAGTTTAAAATGACATTCCATTTCTTTGATTAAGTTCTTTTAATCATGATTTGGCATTTGTACACCCCCAACTAGACGAATAATAAATAAAACTGGATTCAAATGAGGTTGCATAATAAAATTTTATGGATATGAATGCTTAAAGCATTGATTTTACCACTTCGCAATAAATAAATGTTCCAAAGCTCACTTTAATGGTATGAATAGTGGTTTTCTGAGTAAATATGTGCCAACCAAACTCAGTGCCTGTTTTTCAGTTGATTTAAACAAAATTTCTAGTTACGTCATTTAATTCACGCATCCATTCGTACAGCCATGAACAGGTAGGTGAGACGGATTTGGACATATAATAATAGTGGAGGAACTCAAATAATCCTAGAACACGCCATGTACCCATTAAGAATCCAAACTCTGCTTAAGGCTTTCTAAGCAGTTGGGGTAGGAAAGGAGAATTTTAGGATCCGAAAAGTGACGCTTATCTTGAGCTTTAGGCAGTATCGGTTAAGATAACCATTAAGACAAAAAGTAGGTTAACGTTTTTTCATTGGTTAAAATTTTCTTAATTTAGAATTTTAAAGACCGATTTTAATACGCTTGGAAGCAAAAGAACTGATATATATATATATATATATATATATATATATCGGGAATGATTTGACCTGATTGGGACAGGGCATATAACTTGTATATGGTTTTGCTGAGGAAAGATGGAAGAAGTGTCGGAATTTTGGTGTTGAGGTCAACATTTCTGCTTAGCTTCTGCTTGGGGGGAAGGAAAATCTTTTTGATGCCATCAGGTTGGAGCTTAGCTCTCCAATCATATGGATAACTCATATTGGATATTGGTTTCGTGGGCAAGTGTTTGTATTCATTTGTTTTCAAATTCGTCCAATTGCTGAAGAAAGCATGCACCAACCTTAGCCGAGTTTTGAAGGTGTTGAAACTCCCATCCTTGGAGTAGCAGAACCATTCGGCGGGAGTTAGTGAACTTTTCCATTCCAATAGCCAAGACGTATTGATAATATAGTTTAAACAGAATGAAACTCATAATAATCTTATAATTACAAAAGTTATTTAATTAAAATAAACACTAGTACAGTTTCATTCCCACTGCTTTTATTTAGCCACTGTAATTTCCGAAATGGCTGCCTATATATTAAATTGATTACAGGTGCTATTTACGATATTTTTATTGATAATGGTCATTGCACATCTCCTTTGCCACTTTAGAAATGAATCATCCTTTACCTTAGTTTCTTTAAATCAACGACCCTTGTCTTCTCGGTACTTGAAATATCCAAATTTCCAATCCTTTCACTCACTATATTTGCTGACGAATTCGTGTTTTTGAATGTGTATTTTGTTTATAAAATTGTGCTTTTGTACGTTGCTGAAATTTTGTCTTCACCGTGGATGCTATTTTCCTACCCCACTCCACTTCTTTTACAAAAAAATGTCAAAAATGTCAACTTCTTATAATCAGTTTTTTGAGCACGCTATTTTGTTTGCGGTGGAAAGTATTTAACTCTCAAGGTTGATAATTACGCATTTAAGTCATTAGTTGAGGAGTTAAAAATTGATTGTATCATTTCGAGAAAGTAACAAAGTACAGGGGACAATAAAGTAGTTCAATTGGGGGGTTAGAGTAAACCTCGCCAAGTATTTGTTTATTGTCGTCAGCGGTTGTAGTTCATAGTCGTCTCATTGTGAAGCCAGCTACGTCAGTACATCTCCCATAAAGAGGGAACGCCACTATATATTAGGTGCAAATCTTACTGACCAAATTTTATTAATTTAGATGGATTTTCATTCATTTCTTCCACTAGTCGAAATGCTTACAGATGATGGGTGTGCCTTAGTTTAAAACTACGCAATCAGGGAGGGTGAATAAGTTTGACCTTTAACCATCGCCTTCATGATGTCTAGAATAGACGCTTGCTGTAATTGTGAAAGAATCATTGTTTTCTTTTCTACTTATACTAAATCATTGTCGTCTGGTGCATTTATTTTCAGCAACTACAAGAAAATGGTGTCTACACGGTGCCTCAAACCCAATACACCATGGACACACTTCGCTTGGGTTGGGAGCAGCTTCTCACTAATCTCAAACGCGCAATTAATGAGGTGGAAGTGCAGATCATGGCTCGAGAGGCACACAATATCAGCGAGGCACAGATGAATGATTTCCGCCGCTGCTTCAATCACTTCGATCGTAGGAGACTACGACGTCTGGATTTGTCAGAGTTCAAGGCTTGTCTCGTCTCCCTAGGATATAATATACCGAATAATCCAGAGGTGAGTTCATGCAATTCGGTCTATCCTTATTCAATATCGATTGCTTTCGTTGTTGTTTTTTTCAGGCATATATCTGAGAATTAGACGCAAAGAACTTTCTTTATCATAACTTTATCTTCTGTTTTCGGTATCCAGATTATGCGGCATGTATTTTGTGACACTGAGTCCTTCAAAAGGACATGTTGAACAGCCTAAATAAGGTGAAAACGGATTGGAGCCCTATTCCGATCCAATAAAGTAGTTTGAATGTGCACATAGGTGTTTGGTTGGTTGCTTTCTTGGTCTAGTGCTGTGGTGTTGTAAAACTAACCATAAATTAAGTCTGTAAGTCTGATTTTTTATTTAATATTCCAAATCATTTTTAAGTGACTTAATCAAAAGCTACTTTTACCGGTTGTTATGGCTCAGTCACTTTCGGGAAATAAATTGCACTTTTTACTTAAATTTCTACTATGTATCGATATTTTTATTCGAAACGTAATTCCCATTTCTAAATAAAAGGTTAGAGAAGAGCAAAACAACTTCACTCCCGGAGTCTTGAATGGCACCTGATGCGGGCTTGTGGGGATAACATTTTTCACTTCTCTCTCCCCATCATAATAACGAGAGCCAGTGAAATCTTGCCCGTAGTTTACTTTTCCAAGGTAAAAGGAACGGGAGACGCTCTTATTCACTTTCTTCAGTGAATTCTAGGCTCTATCGTGTTCTAACATCTTAGCTTATAGTCCCTCAAATCTCTTATTCAATAGCAGAAAAGCATTTTAAAATTGCCTTTTAAGGGAAGGAGGGGTGCTTAGTAAGGATAGAGGAGCGCGCTTTGTAATTAATGAAACCTTATGCCATCTGACTTATGTGTGCACCATATTGTCCCATTTTACCCAATAAAAGAAAACTTCAGATTTTGACATACTGATTCCTGAATTTAGTGGGCTAAATTCGACTGAATTGTTTTGTGTCTCAGTCGAATCATTCTATCTCAACTTCTGCCAGCTTCATTTTTTATCCGAGTTTATTCTTGACAGAGTGAATTTTACTCGTCATCTCGAATGTGTTACCAGGATTCTTATTGGCTAGCCCAAGAGTAGATTCTATGAATAGATGAGTGCAACGCCGATACTTTCGTTGTCCTACTCTAGTTCAGTAAATTCCCTGTGTTATTCAATTTTCAAGAATTCTATCCCACTGGCTTTTGGGTACTGCGTAGTTTACGAGTAAATAGTAGAAACGTCTATATACTCCCAATACACCATAGGAGTCCCTCACAAAATAACACTGAGTAAGTTCATATTCTCAAGACTTACAACTGTTTGAAAAAGCGGGTTGGTGTATGCAGTTCGTTTTGGTGTTGCAGTGTCTTGTTATCCAAGAAAAGCCAGTTAGTACTGACTGGAATATACGTGTTTTTCAAAGCAATAATTATCCTTAGATATTGTTAGTATTTCTAAAGAATATTCCTGAAACATAAGTAGCCAGCTTTCTGTGTTTTCTAATACCTCACTTCATGAAACCGGTTCAGCCCATGTATCTTCGATCGATTTCAGCCTTATTCGAAATCTTGCTTGTATCCTTTCCTTCTTAACCTCTTATAAATCCCTTCTCGTAGAAGAAACGAGAGTTTTTAAAATGACTCGAGATTCGAAACTAACCATTTCGTTTATTTTATATATATATATATATATATATCAATTCGAATTTTTGCATTTAATAACTGCGAGTGCAGACTTTCTCGCTCTTAATATAATCGAAATTACAGAATTAAAACAGGTGTTCGTGATATTGTAGGGCTACTTGCGAGACTGTTTATTTCTAGTGAATATTTCACACCTATGAACTTGTTGTCTTACAATGTAGGAATATGTACATAAAACATTCTATATATATCATTATATTGCTTTCGACTGAATTGTACGCGAGTTCAAGGCTTCACAATCAAATTTGTTCTGTTTCACACTTAGAATAATTTTAAATAATGTCCCACTTTAAACGTATTAAGGCTAGCGATGTTTTGTTAATGTTTCGCTTATCCAACACTTTTGAGGACCGGAACCTGTCTTTCCACAGTTCCATGGGTTAAGGTGACGCCTTGATCGAGAGTGTCGGTTGAAACTTTTAAATTTATTGTCTTCCCTCTGTCTAAGATGAGTACTTGGGGGGGGGGGGGGGGGGGGGGGGGGGAAGTGGAAAAACGTTTCATATTCATTTTCGAAATTGCCTTTGTTACTGCTCCATATTTCCTTAAATTAACTTTTGTCACAACTCAAAGGTATAGTGACGAACCTTGCGGATACTTGTAGACGTAATTGAATTTAGACGAGGGTTCCAGCTGTGACTGTTGTAGTAAAATAAATCTGGTTTCAAATCTAAAATCCCCTAATGGCTTCCCCTCCCTACCGTGAATTTACAGTGAAGTCACATTTTTTCAGCGTCCATTTAATATTCTTTGCAAGATTTTTATTCTTACATTAATAAACAACCTTGACGTTAATTGGTTTGGCTAAAGGTCAGAGAATTAGTACTTTTAAATTTGGTTTTAATTCGACTTATATTTCCACAGAATCGTTTACAAAATTAATGCAAAAAATGAATTTTGGATAATGTCCACAACGATTAGTGACATTTTAAAAACAACTGTGTAGAGTTGTAAAATTGCCTACCAACCAATTTGATGCTTACACATCTGTCTCTCCTATGCGTACTTTTAGAAACGAGCATTTATTTACCTGACGATGTGCTATATTTAGAGATTTCTGCGTAATTCATAAATATCTGCTATTTCACTTCTTTTTTCTCTTCGATCTACCGTCTGTGTAAGTATGCTCAAAACAAGATGAATTCTACCTCAGCTTCCCTTTCATTACACGAGATTGAAGTTTGATTGAAAGCAGCATCCGTTGACCAAATTGATAGTACTTGTGGTACAGCAGTTAGCATGCTATTTCAATGGTCACTGGTTGCAACCAATTAGCAGAACGGTTTTCAGAACTGCTTTCTCTGGCATAGAAGGGCTAACACCTTGAAACAATTTCTCTACTGGAAAAGATTGTTGAAAATAGCATTCCAAAATTGACTTGGAAGTTATTTCTCACGCATCATGACAGATCATTTTAATGAAGATAGAATTGCTTTGATCTTTTTTGGAAATATATGTGGTAATGAGGGAGTTTCTAAAAATCCCGAATGCTATTTCTATCTCCTTGTTTCAGCCAATTTTGCAGTGTATTCGAGTTGATGGAATGAGAGAGTTTGGAGGAGTTTGAAAGTCCCCCCCCCCCTCCCTTTAATCGAAGTTAAGAAGCATACACTTTGAATTCACTAATGCTCAAGTAGCCCTGGTCTCAGCGCAACCGTTTTCAGGCCTATTCTCGCAGCTCTATCCTCTAGCTAACACACAGAAGTCACCACTGTTTCAGGTCTCTATGTCATCTGTTCATTGTATGCTTAATAATAATGATGACTCGAATGGATGTAAATATAAGCAAGGAGGCTGAGCAGAGAACGAAATCCGTGCTACTAATTGGAGCAAATTCACAAGTTCACGTATAAAGAACAGGCATATGGGCACGAACTAAATGCCCCGTTGAAATTTTTATAACTGGTCAAGACATTTTTGTTTCCGTTCATGATTTCACTTTTCTCTCTTAAAAGAGACTATTCCACCAACACAAAGATTAAAGTTCCCCTTTATGGAGTCAGAGATCACATTTTTGTTATCTATCAATGCACATCCAGCCTAACGCAATGATTGACAATTGGAGTTCCACCTCTAACGTATGTTCAAGCTGATTGGTGGAAAGTGAGAATCCTAAATGGACTTGGGAATTTGATTATTTTAGCCAGTTAAGTTCCCCGTCTAATTTAACTTTTTATTTTGTCCATTAGCTGCAGAGGCTTTCTTGTTTATTGGTTGTCGGTCCATGTGGAACCAATACAGTGCATGCAGCAACAATGGCCTTCAAATACCCATTAGCGCAAGATCCATGCAATTACCAAGAGGTGCCCGCTTGCACCCATGCATTCAGTAGAGAGATAATTTATCAAATTTGTGCAACCCTTGTAATTCCGGAGAGGGAATCACGTAGCCCCTTGCCAACATGCTCCTACTTCCCTCTGCCTCTCTCAGTTTTTTACTTTCTAAATTTAGTACGATGGTGAAAATCAGTTACCGACTGGACAATTGTGCGCATTCTGTCTGTGTTGCTATGTTTGAGACGTAAAATCTGTCTCGATCGACTTTTCGTGAGTCATTGAGTACTGAGCAAAGTGATTTAGCAAAGGTGGCAAATTGTATTTCAGGTCGTTGTTTAGAATTTCCCACTTTATTCCCTTAGTTATATTGACTGCATCTTTTTGCATAAAATCATGTGTTTTGGTGCTCCTATTTCAAGCCTTGATGTACGATTTCATAATTGAACCTGTCCAGAACCTGATAATCAGTTTGTCAAACTACGGATTGGTCATACAACTTCGATGTGATAATTTCCCCCCAAATTGGTGAGTATAGTTTGTTGAAATCACATAAGGTGTCAGAAAAATGTGGGCAACAATTCAAATGTTACGGTTACTTCTGCCGTTGGTATAAATAATGAATTAGCCGATCAGGAGTATTTACTTATTGTCTTTCAATCTAATAAGTAAACTGAATGTTGTAGTTCCCAAATTAATGCAAATCTTGTTGAAAAAATTGAACAATCGAAACTGTTTCCATTTATATTTACTTCCTCGTCTTTCACCAAAAATGATAATTCAAGTGGTCTTGTAACTTTTTAGGTAAATGCAGGCCATATGTCATTAGTTGTCTGATTTCTATTTTTGGTTGGGGTGCATTTTGTCAGATAAGTTTAATTTGATTAATTTTCCGAAGCTTATGTTTTTTTAACTTTCACAACGGAAACTGTTTATTTGTTCACATTTCATATTTGGCAAATCTGTGCTGTATTTTATAGTGATTATAGAACTGTAAGGTAATGGCAAGAGCGCCTAGCCTCCTGCTAAACTAGTAATTTTTTCATGAAACTGATAAAAATTTTATGGCCTATATAGGAAACCACACTTGATTTCTACTTATTTAAATCGCTTTCAAAAGGTACTCATTATCTCTCTAACACAGACCGGACATTTTAAGGATCATGCGTTGATGGGTTTATTCATTTGGCTGGGTTCTTATTTATGAGAAAATATTCTTCTTAGATGCCTCCTTTTGCTATTTTTGTTGCCCTAGGGTGATGCGGATTTCCGTCGAATCCTCGCAAGTGTGGACCCCTCAGGCTCAGGAGTTGTAACCTACGAGTCTTTCATACGCTTCATGACTCAACAAGCCTCGGATTCTGAAAGTGCAGAACAACTCATTGACTCCTTCCGTGTGTTGGCTAATGAACAAGTGAGTTTGTTTCTCATTTAACCGTCTATGTGTTGAAGATTATCGTTGTCTGTGGTGAATTGCTTTCTTCAACATTGCCAGCCCCAATCCGAGTGTGAATCAGAATATGGGGCCTTGATCTTGACATATCATTTTTTGATTAAATCTTTTCATTGGTATAAGTATGCGCCTTTTTGAATGATCTTTCACCATATTGATGCTCCAACAAAAGTGTGTACTAAACTCACTCGTGAGTGTCGATTATATTTAGACACCTGGAAGACTTTATAGGCTCGGTTACTCCCGGTGGGGTTCAAGAAACTACAAGAGTTGCTACAATTTTCTCATCATGACATGTGTCATTGAATGGTGTAAGTACTGGAAATCAGTGGACCAATAGTTCTCCCGTTCTCATGCTTTTTTATGAATCATTGAGTTGCCAACTAATTTCGTCGGAGTTGAAAATCATTTTATCAAAATTTCATTTGTACCGAAGTTTCACTTTTATTATTTAATAACTTAATTTTGCTCTATATGCATATCGATAAATTTAATTGAATATTTGATTATGCCATTGATTCAGAAGTCTTCTCTTACGACTAAAAGTAGGTACATTGAGCTACTATAGGCAGAACGGAAAAATTGAACCCTTAAAAAGCATCCTTATTTGATAGATATTTCTATTCCAGTTGCCAATTTGACACAGTAGCCAATTTTTGACTGAATTAGCAACAACAACCTTTGTAATCCTCACTTCTCTCTTCTGCAATGCACTACTAAAAAAATTAACAGGCATCTTCTTGACCTTTCCTCTTGGTCCATCGGTCCATTTTAGCCAAGAGAGCAATCGGCACATTGATGTTTGTTTTAACGAACGTGACCCTAAGGGTTGGTCTGCATCCAGGATGGCAGGCAGTCTCTCTCTCCCCCTCTCCCTCTCTCTCTCCGAGCCAATGGCAGCCAAAGTCCAGGCATTGCTGGGTACTGGGATGATACCCTCTGGTGCCAATTTATTGCCCCGTGGGTAATATTTATTTGATCAGAGGGATGGGCTTTCACATTTTGCACTCGATAGGGCCCATGGTGTTTATAAATTCTCAAGTTTAACTTTTATTTAAACTATAAATTTGATGTTCTAGAAGCCGTTTTTCATATTTGCAGTACAATTTGGCGAATCGTCTTAGCTTTTTGCAATTTCTCTTAACTAAAAGGGCTTCCGCCTTATTGAGGCCTATGGGTATTTGGGCAAATTCTTTGACAAACAAACACTACTTTATCCGGAAGCTTCATTGATTGTATTGAATATTGTTGAGTTACTTTAAGTATTATAAAATCGGCAAGGAATTTTCTTTTCTTGTGGAGGATGCCCAGCCACATTCATAAGATCTGACTAACAAACGGACAGTGATGAAACTCGGACCGTTCGTCAGAAGGGCTCCCCAACGAAAGATGCATTTTTGAAAACACTTTCGATATGGGCCTGGGTGTGTTAGGTCTGGGCAGGGACAACTGTCTTTACCACGTCAGTTTTTTTTGTTAATTAATTTCTCCACACACACCATACCACACCGTACTGGAATATTTAGGCTCATTTTTGCCAAATGTACTGGCATAATTGCTAATGATTTAAGAAAAATAGCTGACAACCAGTTAGGAATATATCCACCTACAGCCAATGAAACCATGGAAATTTTCGGAAGCAGCTATAATCGGTTAGTAGAAGGCTCAACAAATGATATAGAGGAGATGATCGACAGTCGTAGAGAAATGTCAAGGTATCAAAGTCTTACACGTCATACCAAAATTCAAATTACACAATTGACCACATGGATAACAGCAAATGCTTGTCTGTGATGTTCAGCGCTTATCAACTAGCATTATTTAATCAATAAGGTTCGGCCTTGTGGCGGCCCTCATTTCGATTTTTCTTCAAATGCCTGAGGAGCGAAATTGTCTTACCTGCCATTCACCAGTTCACCCAACACTTAATAAAATTTTCAGTCCAGCTTCGATTGCCTATTCATACAACGCGTGCTTTTTTGACATGCTGTGTCTTGACGAACCTCGACTTGTATAAGACCTAAAGCAATTGGTAATTGGGCACTTGAAGCTTTTGGTGATCTTATAGTCTACAGAGAAGAGACCCCTCAATAGTCCAAGAACATAGATTACCTTTCCCCGCGGATTAGACTTTCAACTGGTGCAATCGGATTTTGCTGCAATTCCATGAATTCACTTGTTTGGACATGGGTTATTAGAGACGGAACTTGATATTGCTGACTGGTTTGCCATGATAGACCGGTCAAACCTAAGATTCCATTGCTACCTTGATTGATTTAACTTAGTCATCACTTTAAATAAGTTTCCTTTCTAGCTATTTTAAGCAGTTGATGATTGCAGTTTTAGGGTAAAAGAACAGGAATGACTTTTCATAGCTCAAAATCTAAAAAAGTTTTTCGCTGAACCATGGTCTCGGAATTTCTCCCAGAAATTTGCTTAAATAGCGCTTCATGCATCACGACCCTGCGGGTCCTACGTTACTACTAATAAGAATCTCGTTTGATATTTCGTATGCCATTATCTACGATACAATGTCCTGAACAGGGTTCGAAATTCTGTGAATGGAATTCGTTACTCAGACAATGGATTTGCTAGTCCCTTTTCACCCTTTGAACGAAATCCTTTCAAAACTATATAATTGATTATCCAAAGAGCATTATCCTAAAAAAAGTTCAATCGACATCCATCTGGGCCAGAAAATCTGTAGCCATAAATAAATTATGACTATTCAACGTCATATTGATCATGACTTATCATTATATCAGTGATAATGAGGCACGTAACTTAAGCCCTTGTATCCATTAATCCCGACACACAAGCCAAAAGGATCAAGCCCTTTGGCATTTTCATAAGACACGTTCTACTGATTGAAAAATAAGTAACACGTTTTTTCTATTCCCATTTCAGCCCTTCGTGACAGAGGAGACAATAAGACGCGAGCTGCCACCAGAGCAAGCCGAGTACTGTTTGCAGAAAATGAAGCCATACAAAGGGGAAAGCTCTGCACCCGGTGCCCTTGACTACACGGATTTCTCCAATAAGGTATTTGGGGAGACAGACCTTTAAAATTAGCCAACTAAGAGCTTAAATATCGCCGCCGCCCTCTTTCTTTTGTGTACATCATCTGAAGGATTGATCGCACAGTTTGCACTTTAGCGGCTTTCCTCCTCTACCGCTCTATCTCTTTTAGATCTCAAGCAATTTTCGCATTTCTTGTTCGTAGACTTCTTTTTATCCCCACTTTTGAAACTTTCCGAATGCAGTCTATTGTGACCGAACATACCAATGTGGTGGTCAGCCTTATTGAAGCTTTCTTCTAACTTACTTTTAAGAAATTCTCTTCCTTCTCTTTGGATTGCATTTGCAGTGCTTTTAAAGTGTTTAAGTATATGTCCATTTTGAGTTGGCAGATATAAAATCATATGTCTCACATCCCTTTTATAGCTTCAATGGGAAGTGCTAGGCAACATGCATACCAGATGATATGAGTTTGAAATCCACCGCAGATCATGTGACAGAATGTTAAACAGGGAAAATGAAATTTCGCTTGAGTTAGTTAGGGAGAGAGATAAATGAAGAGAAAAGTAAGATATGAAGATACGCCAAGGTCATGCAGAATAGGACCGTGCGTAAAGCACGTGACAAGTTAAGATGGCTACGCCGAGGCCTACATAAGCATATCAAACAAGATCAATTAATAAAAATATAGTCATCACAACAACTATAGAAGTTCGGATACATAACATTCAGTAAACAGGTAAATCCGGGGACTACGCAACAGAGAATAGCTTAGTCAGTAACATTTTAAATGAGTTTGAAAATAACTGCAAACTACGTATAGCAAATTCGCGTATAAATGGGACGTAATCATTAATTCAATAAAAGAGATTTATTACAACCCCGAGTTACAAACACACTGATGTATCATCGACCAGTTCTCTCGAATCAGTGCGAAATTGTGAAAAACACAATGATTTGGAATAGTGCTCGAAACTCCTTAAATCAACATTATTAGTTGGAGTAATAAGTAAAGAAAGTGTAAAGTACACCTCAGGTGGGGAGTCAAATTTATATTGAGCATGATACAAGATGCAAACTAAGTCGATTACCCCTAGGACGTCGAATACACGAGTTGCGATTATATACAAAAACGATAAAAAATGGAACAAATCAAAATCCTAATAAAATGCTTTACAAGAAATCAGCCAATTTTCTCTGGAATTACAACAGATAAAAGTCAAATGTCTCACAAGTTAAGAAGTATGTGATCAAATATTGCTAACAGAGCACTATCTGAACAAAATAAAGCACTATCTCACGTCGAACACGAAAAAGTGTACTAATATAAGACGTTAATCTAGTCACATAAACTCCTTCGAGTACCAAAAGCGAAAACGTGAACAAGTTACTTGCTCCTAAATCTTATAAAGCAGCATAATAGAAAGATATAAAAAATGAGAGTAGAGGAAAATTTATTCAATATAAAAAAACCCAATAAAGAGTCGCAAGATTCAAGTAATGTTTGATTTATCAAAATTCAATAGCTACAACACGTAAACTAAATAATAGGGTTTTTCATGCGTTTTGATAACGTAAAGAGGTCTTGAATTTGTACAGCTATTTAAAGAAGTAGATCACAAACATGGAATGAAGTTGATAGCACTGCTAGTAGCATCATGGACAACACAGCCCAAATCAGAAAAAGGTATGAAGATAAATTATGCATAAATATGAGTTCAAATAGAGAAAGAAAAGGAATTACGGGGTTGAATAACTACGACGAGTGTTGAGGTGAAGTTGGACAGCAGCAAAAATGAGAACAAGAAGGTAAACGCCTGCAGCAATGAAACAATTGGTCGAAACCATAGCGAACTTCTCGTCAATGTAAGCCGGAGAAAATTTAGTTTGCTCCCATTCCGTCATGTTAATTGGTATATCCTCAATGAAGGCCACAGCGTTTACACGCGTAAGCACACCCATAAGGACCTGGTATATGGAAAGGAATTTTACAAATAAAAGTGCAAATAAATTTCAATAAAGATTTCCAAAAGATTAAAACATAAATACAGAAGTAACAACGGTAGACAACATACCAGCATAATAACACCCCATACCGCCAAAACAAGAAGACAAGCGGAGCACTTGGTGCCTACCAAAGCCATCTTGGCAAAATGCGCGGTGGCACTTTAACAAAATCAGCGGGTATTTCGGAATAGTCCCTAATATGTTTAGAACTTTCTTCATAAATACATTACATTTATAATAAATTAATGAAAATTCTATCGAATATTATTTTATATGAAGGTTATCTACAAGTTGTATAATAGAAAAGTTACATTTTTAAGAATTATGATTATATATAACAGTTAATTGTTTCTGCAAAATTCAAACGGTTCCAAAGAATTTCAAAACTGTGAAGTCTTTAGTTTTAGGTGAAGTGAACATATTAATATTTCTATTTACCATATTATGGGGACAAGCAAACATATCAAGTATATTCAATTTCTTTAGATGGTAAAAAAATCAAAGTGGCTTGAAGTCACTCTGCAGTCGATGATCTTCAGAATTTATTGAATATTTATACAATGGCACAAATAATCAAAGAATAAAAAATGTTGATTTGAATCAAAGGATAAATAATTTCGAATTCTATATTAAGTGCTATGTTAGATAGATGGGAATCATGAACTCGTGATCTGATAAGGCAGGTTTCTGGGCTATTTGGAAAGGAGAGCCAACAGCGCTATCCCATGAAATATGTCAGCTTATTGATGCCGTAAAATTTTTAGCTTAAACATGGAGGGAAGATATTAATTCAAGACTGCAAATGGCAAAACCAATTCAAAATTATATTGAATTCTATACAATTATGATTGACTATTTGTTGTTGGCCAATATTACAACGGTGTAGAGTACCAACTCTTTATTATTGTAGCAATTCTAGCGTAAAGTATGGCTGCCCAAAAATACCGTCCTTCATTATAAAAAATAGAAAGAAAATACAATCTATCAATGATGATATAACGTCAATACACAAACTACTCAAAATGGGAAATGAAAATGTAACACCATTTCAGGTCAAAAGGAATTCAATTCTCTCTGCAATAAGAAAGTGTTTATTGAATACTCTAGAGTTTAAAAAATACATTTGCATATTCAAAAAATTCTGGTATATCGCTATTCTATCATCTTATCAGAAAACGCATGTATGATGAATTTAATAGATGAAATTTAAACCATCTTTGTTTCATCTACACAACGTATTTCCTAAAAGAAAATTTTGTAAAGTGGTGAATTTAGCACAATAAAAAATTGACAATATGTCTATTTAAAATAGTTTCCAAACCCCACAGATATGCGAAATTATCGATACCCCGATGTTTGTGTTAAAAAATGGTTTGCTTAAAAATAATATTTATCATGCTTACGTTCATAAATGAAAAAAATATTTCCCCTTGATTAATTTGTGGTTTCGTTTGAGAAATTGTTTTATGCAATTTCTTTTTTTGCGGTATTTATGCTAAAGCCTATGATAGTTATATTTCAATATGTGAAACTAATTGCATTGATTTTTCTTGATTTGCCGAACCTACGAAAGATGATGCGTCTTACCATTTTCTGCCTTTGGTTGTCTGCGACTACGGAGAGGCGGGCAAGCAGTTCATGATGAAACGAACTCGTGTTTTTAACGAAGGCAGACTTGCCCGATAGCTTCTTGCATATCATTGCATAAGTAACATTTGTGTTTGCCATATCCATCCATTGAATAAAGTGGGTCCAAGGTAATCTCTCTTTTTTACAAAATACATTAAAATGCAAAGTAATAATTTTTGGATCATGTTTTCATTAGCGATAAAATAGTATTTGAACAAGAGTAAAACAAAAATAATAAACTTTTAACCGGGCAAGTAATTCCTCCCCCACCTCACATCTACAATTAGAAGGTTGAGCCTTGTTTGTGTAATGGATGCAAAATGAACCCACTTTTGAATGAGCAAGGAAGAAAGGGAGGAATAGGTAGAATATTTGGAAGATCAAGGTTTATGGGTCAGTAAAACATAAGCCTTAATTAAAGTTAGATATTTTACATCCTTCTCAAAGGTCAAAATTTGAAGTAACATGTGCATTCAGTGGCTTGCAACTAGAGTTTCTATCAGACTTGCCTTACCGTCATATTCAGTTTTAATTGATGGCCACTAATGCGAAAAGCAGACCTCTTTGAAGCACTCATTCAAATTTTCGTTATTTATTTCTTTTGTGTATTTGTGCTTAGATTTATAAGTACTAAATTTGGACCATTGTTTCATCTTTCCTATGAATATGAGTCCTTAGATTTAGTCTTCAGTTTGGTGATTGTGGAACAGAGTCCTGCAGACTCGTTGGAAGTGTGGTTTAGACATGTATTTATCACAGAAAATTTTGTGGAGAGTTTAAAAAGTAAGAAACATTGAAAGTTTAAGATGAGAAGCAGACATCTTTCGTACTTCAGCAGCGTGAAATTGCAATTTTTTTAGATTTGAGAGTATGAGTTATGAGGCCCAATTTGGAGTTGGAATCCGCAAAATGAGCTCTTCATGAACCAATACGGCGTGCAACACAACCTTCCAGTTCACACGAGCACTGCAATCTCGTTCCGCCTTCGAATTTATTATCATCTCTTGATTCCTCCTTCATCACCTCTTCCCTTTTTCGCTATTCCAGTCTACGATACCTTCCTAGTGACCGTTCAAGATTTCAACCCCAAAATTTCATTAGATTATTTGGTAGTCACTTGTTTTTATTCCTTCGAAGAACTCCAAAACAAAACTCATGAAATTCAGCCTCCTCCCGTCTCTCTTTCTCTTGTTGAATGACTCGTGCATAGGCACTTGGTGTATATCTGCTTTCTATATGCTAACAAAGTCACGATTCTGCTATTTATGTTGCAGGACCATAAAGATAGGTTGGCGAAGTAAAACAAACATTTATTACAACATTGGCCGAATCCATATTTCTGGGGTTCGATTTGCTTCACAACGATGAAGTGTATTCAGATCTTGCCACTTTTCACCAAAAAAGGTGATGAACCGAGGTGAAAGAGAATAGTAGTGGTCGCATTTGTTTACAACCACGTCAGCGGAAGCAAATTGCTCCTGCGCTACGCCGTTGTTAGGATAAGCTCAGTTTCGAATTAGCAATGCTGATGATTCCAGATGAAATGATTTCTCAAAAAAATCGAAGCTGACGATGGTATATTCGAGAATGATGAACTTCTTCAATTCTGGCTCAATAATGTAATTCTAGGGTGCCAAATTTCTCCCTCTATGACCTACCTGCTCGCTGACTATGGCTTAACTACAGTTGAAGGTCTGGAATGAATTTCCTTAGAATTGACAAGCGGCCTAAATAACAGTCATGTCAAACTCTCTCAACTAATATACAAAATGTGGCTGGATTATCAACCTCGTTGGCAAATTTATCATCAAGTTCCTACTAGAGGATAGTTAAGACGTCTGAAATATGATTATGTTTTGGTGTTCACTCCCACCCCCCCTCCCCCGGTAAAAGTTCCAAAAGTTATTTCCCACCATTAATAATGGCCCATTTTGTTGAAAGCAGCAGTTTCACAAATTTTGACTGAGACGGGATAGACGCAATCAACAGCATGCATGAGATTTTGAACATCTACTTGCCCAACATATGTGATACGTATGGGGTTGATATTGTTCCTCGTCGTGCTCTTATCGAGATGAGGGTAGACGTAGGCGGGGGGGGGGGCGGTTAGTTGGGGCAGTGTTTTTTATCAGTAGCAAGATGATTCTGCTCTAGTTTCAAATAATAAGTAAACACAAGATCTCTGTTCGGCTATGGTGATGCACTTGTGCGAACATTTATTAATCGACGCATTCTTGAGAAATGCCCGACACCACCGAAGCTGAACAAATTAATCTCATGCACACCCGAATAGTCTAGAAGGTCCGCCGTGATACTGACTGTGTAGGAAACAAGTGATGTCCTGAGTGCAGAGACCTCTCAGCCCACTCGACACACTCTGCTTCCACGACATTTATTTATATATTTATTTCAAATGGCTGACTTCGGGCTTCACAGAGGGAAGGTTAATCAGAGTAGCAGAAAGTTGAGGGGTGGGGAAGAGTAGAGCGATTCACAGATGTAAAAGAGGCAAACGGACACAAAGGTAGAGAACAAGGTAAGATGAGTACTGTGAAAGGGGTCGAATATGACATACAGTAGGGTGATGGAAGTTTGAAGTGAGAAGTCAACTATAGTCGGACCATAGTAGTTTGAAGTCAGAAGTCAACTGCCGGTTTACGGTGGGGTGATGGTAGTTTGAAGTCAGAAAGCAACTGCCAGTGAGGGGTGATGGTAGTTTGAAGTGAGAAGTCAACTGCCAGTGAGGGTGATGGAAGTTTGAAGTGAGAAGTCAACTGCCGGTTTCTAGACTTTTTGCCGTATGAGCATACGTTGCCCAGGGTGCACCACGTGGAGGTGAGTCTATCGCACACCCCACTTCCACGACATAGTTGGGGGTAGAGCTAAACTAATGTTGGGAATTAGCTTATTTGTGCAGCGTATGCTATAGTCTTCTAATTTTAGGTACAAAATGCTGGCACAAGCGCCTAACAAGCTCAATCGACAAAATTACTTGCAAGGAAAAGACCAACTCAGTTGAATTTAAGGTAAAGGAAGACAATCCATTCTCCGATATACAAAGTAGGAGGTTGAAAGCATTCAGAACCAATTTTCTCATCCAGTCATACACCAATAAAATCTGCTTTAAAAATATTTCTTGAAAACAAATGGTTTTGCTTAATCAATATGCCCTAATTTTCTCATGCCTGCTGTTTAAACTAGGTTAAATTTCAAACCATAACTGAAATTTTGTTTACAATAGTGGTTAACAAGTGTGTTAGTGGAATTAAATGATTGTGCTTGAATAGGGCGTTTGGTGGGTATGGAATCCGCAAATGATGCAAAACTTTATTTCATCATAAATAAAAGCAACCCAAATTTCATTTAAATACATCACTATTAATAATAATAATAATAATATTAAAAAAGCAATAGCAGCTGCACTAGTGCATAATTGAATGCAAAGAGAGAAAGTGAGAGAAAGAAATGATGAATAAAACAGTACCACAAAGTCTGCCAATTCAATGATGTTCATGCATCAAATTAGAGGGGGGAGGGGGGATGAAAGGAATGCGTCTGTCCATAATATACACACGGGACGGAGGGGGAGGGGGATGGGAGATTGTATTCCATGATCAACCGGTATTTCCAGGTGCTCCAGGAGCTGGTTTATTAGTGGCAGTTCCATTTGCAGTGGATTGAGCAGTGGCGGAGATTTGAGAAGGACTTTCATCTGGAGGGACTAGGAGATATGTGATTCTATATTCCGGATAAGCCTGTTCCCCTCTATAAATTACATATTCTGCAAAGTTTAATCCACCTGCCGATGGTAAACCAACAACAGAATGGTGACCAGGGGGCGCGTGTGCGACCTTCATCGCATTGAACTGGATGAAGGACCTTCCAAGAGCCACTCTGCAAAGGAGCATTTGTCGCGGGCAAATATAGCAGGATCTAGAACGATGATTCGGACAACCCGTACCTCCACCAATTCCATAGACGTATTGATTCGACTTAGACGAGTTTTCTGCAAAGTATATACCAGCGCCAAACATGCCACCAATGTACGCATGGCGCTCATCGAATCCTCGAGTTACAATCGAGTGCAGGAAGGGGGAACCATGAAAAAGGAATCGTTCATTATAATGACCAACTCCTCCGGCATTTGGATTCGCACTGGAAGGATGAATAGTGGCAGTAGAATTATTGATCGCCGCACTACTGCTACTACTTCCACCGCTCAGATCTTCAGCAATTTCAGCGCAGCGATGCATGTACCGATCCCACATTCGACGGTTTCGGATGCGAGTGATTTCGAGGACATTGAAACGCTGGAATATACCTCCGCAATTATCTTTATGTTGGCGGATGCTGCTTTGAAGCTATAAGAAACACAACTCATTAGAATTGAAGTGAGCGTTCTAGTGAGTGAACAAACGTAGCACAAGTTCAAGACCCTTCTTTGAACACAGAATCACACTGCATTCTTCCTACTCAAAATATTGAGTATGTACAAAATAAGCCCTAGTATTGCCACATAGGGCGTCTACTAAAGCTGAAATTTCTGAATAACACAATGCTATTGACGAATTCGACCCTCGTCAGATAAAAGGGAAGCAATCATCAGCACGCACACCAACATGGGCAGAGATAGAACATGAGATACGCTCAACTACAATCAAGTGATGTTTTAGATGAAAGAAGCTGTCATGACAATTTTACACTTTGGGTCGCTCTCTCTCTCTTACCCTCTAGTAATTATGGTCCCTCGTAACCTCTAATCTATCCCCCCATTAATTTGTAATAAACTCTCAGTTACAACACCCTTCCAGAGACACTTTCAACCAGTGACTAATTAGGCGCTACCTCAAGACTCACTTATCGTTTGATGAGAACTTAAACCTGTCTGATTAAAGGTAGAGAATTTTACAATTAGTTCATTGTTCTATATCACTCATGTTCTCAAATCCCTTCAAAACCTATAAAAGGCAAGAACGTCGTGGAACAGCCTCCATACATCAATCTGAATATCCTCCATATTCTTTTCAAGGCAAGCATCACTCACAGCTTCACGCCTTGTCTTCGTTCCGTTGTTAAAAAGACAATAATCTAGAATCTAAGCAAAACACTGTTAGCTTCTAAGATTTACCTTTATCATAATATAGCCATCTCAAATAAAGACGCATTTCCTTAACGAAATCAAGGTTGATAAAGACAGGCTCAAGCATAACTAACTTGTTCTTCAACATCCCGAAACTCAGTAGAATCCCTCGGTACATCCACAAACACAGTTTCAGTAGCCGCCGCAGCCGGAAAGAAATCCGATCCAGGGGGCATGGGTTCGTGGACACCCACTCCCTTGAAATGGCCTCCCGAGGTTGTACCCAAACCACCCCTGGAGATCGATAAGTTGTCCACTCCCGCGACGATGGGGAATATAGAAGCGGTAGCGGTGGTTGCTGAATTGATGGCAGTAGGGGCATTGGTTACAGAGGCGGCGATGAGAGACCGATATCGACTCACACCCTTGATAATCTTGTGGCGCTGTCCGTAAACTACCACCCCGAGTTCTTTCAACTCCTCGTGACCCAATTCCACAAGAATATCCAGAGTAACCTAAGAGAAGAGAAAAACACAGTCAGTTAGTATTAACCCTGGAACATCAACAGTTTTATCCGAGAAGAAACAATCGAAACACAGAACATGTCTGCTTGGAACCGGATCATTTTGGCTTCACCTGGGAATGCACAAAAGCTTTATTGTGGGAAAAAAATTTTGATCAGGATATTCGCTTTCGAGTCGAAACTCCAAAACTTCTTATTCGTCAAAATTATATGGTCTCCTTGGTATAATTAATCCACAAAATAAAATTATCTGCATATTCGTTTAATGGGGGAAAAGAAGGATTTCCTTTTCTGCATTGACACAATAAGATTTTTTGGCTAACATACTTCAAACTTCATATCCCCTCTACTCTGTATTCAGAAATATTTGAAATACCAATCTACCGTCATCCGCATTTCCAAATCGGCAAGTTCCAAGCTCATTAAAAAATACTTTTTTTGCATAAACTCATGCTGAAGAGAGGAGTAGAAAAATTGCTCAGAACTTGAATACTAATAACAGGACGAATGATAGTCAAACCAGTCCCTAACATTCAATTGACCAAAAAATCCTGATAGAATGGCAGGCGCAGGTGGTGACCACCGATCGAATTGAAGTTATGGTCGTGATATGCTTGAAAGAATGTTTTTTTCCAAATAACTAATTTTATATAACACACTTTTGGCACCAATTGCGATTCAACTCCCCAACAGTTAGAAAAGACTGCGCCTTGATCTCATAACTTCAGATCTACATAGGCCACTATAAAAAGAGGTCATCGACATAGTAACAGTGAGTGAACTAAAGACCAGCATACTTTATAAAAATTAGTACCCACCTGTTCTTTGTCGAACAATTCCACAAGATGGTCAAGTCCAAGAGACGTAAGAAAGCTAGCAATTGTCATGGTTGTGGTTTGTAAAATAGGCTGTTGAGGCAAAGCAAGAGGTTGTTGCTGTTGAACTGGTGGTTGATTCAAGAGACCCTCCTCTTCAGCTCTCCCTTGTCCCTCAATTCGAGGACCATCGGTAGAGACAGCCGCAACTGTGATGGCATTAGAAGCAGAAGAAGGAAGATGAGAGATCTGATGAGCGGAAGATGAAGGGAGAAGAGAGGATGAAGAGGAGGCCGCAAGGGGCAGGCACATTGGAGCTCCAATCGCAGACGGCATTGCATCCGAAAGGAGGCATTTAACGTCATCAGCTGTGGCAAGGTCCAATGGGGTTTGGCCTAGGGAAGATAGAAAGCAAGCATGCAAAATCGAAATTAAAAGCAAAAAGGATATAACAAATTTAACTCACTATAAACAATGACTTCATAACCAAATACACAGTGGACAAAAGTCGACAATAAACCCCAACTCGATACAGAAAGCCGCATTTCAGAAACAACATGGCTTTACCAAAGCATGACCTCCATTTAACGCCCCACCCCCCCCCCCCCCCCCCCCCCCCCCTCCCCCGTTCCCCCCAAAAAAAACTCACGCAAACCAACATCAAATGTCAAGATGACTATTCAAAGCAGTCAGGTTACTTTAAAAACATTTTAACTACCACTTAAAAGTACAACTCGCTCAGTATATGAATTGAAGAAAAAGTAAAATTATTTCTTGAACTTCGGACGCCAATGATACATAATGATTTGGCATATTGAAATTAACTTTTATCTCACAATAAAGCCTGAAACAAAGCTGATAGGGGACGTTTAGTATACCCAATAGTGCTTCAACAGAATTTCGATATCCACATACCTTCTTCATTCCTAGTCAGAGGATTTGCTCCATGCGCCAACAGCAGCGAACACAACTGAGTTCGGCCCTTCTGAGCCGCTTCATGAAGTGGGGTATAACCCCATTTGTCAACCGCATTCACCGAGGTTCCATGTCTAATCAGGATGGCGGCAACATCGACATGTCCATAAGAGCTCGCATTGTGGAGAGGTATGAGACCTCCCTTATCCTGCGCATTGACATCAGCCCCAGCGGCAAGCAAGAATTCCACCACTTCAAGATTGTTATATCCCGCAGCTAAATGAAGGGGTGTTGAATTTCGACCCGCAGTATCTCGACAGTTGATGTTATCCGCAGTGATGAGGCGTTGAATCTTCGTTAGGCTTCCTCTTTTAGCTGCCTCGAGAACAGCTGCATCTCCACGTAGTAGGTCATAAACAAGACTGTCGGTATCCTATCAAATCAAAACTAGGTCAAAACACCACTTACAAGAGAGGTAAGTAGACACATAGTAACTTTGACATTGAAACCTACCCTCACGAGATCGATTGGGGTGTGACCGTCGCGGTTTTTGCGTGTGGGATCGGCACCGTGTTTGAGGAGGAGTCGGCAAATATCGAATTTACCTTTGGCAGCAGCTTCGTGGAGAGGAGTAAAACGCCAGAGATCGGTGACGTTTACGTTGGCACCGTGTTGAATGAGCAATTCCGCGACCTAGAAAGAAAGAAAACTACAAATCCGATCTAATACTCATCCGACTCGTAGTGACTACTCTTCAAATCACAAAGAGGACTGGAATTATCACCCCAAATTGCTGGAAAGCCAAGAAACAAGAAACGAAATAAAAACAGCAATTACTCTAGGAGTCAATGGTAGAAGGTTCGATCTCAGAAAAGAAGATACTTAATTGACAAAATTATAATCGACGAGGGGTGTGTGGGATAGACTTACCACTACGTGGTACACCCTGGGCAACGCATACTCATACGGGAAAAAGTCTACAATGGCCCCACTGTATGTCATTTCCTCTCTCATTTTTCTCTCCCTCTGTGTCTGTCTGCCTCTTTTACATCTTTGAATCTCTCTTCTACTCCCCCTCTCGATTTTTTCTCACTCTGATGTTCCTCTCCCTCTGTGAAGCCCGAGGTCAGCTAAAGGGCTAATGATAATTATCAAAACGTCTGTCATATGATACAAATAAATAATCGACGAGAATGAGGAAGAATACCCACATTGGGAGAACATAGGGAAGGAAAACGTCTCTTAGATAGCAAACTTATAAGCAACTAGCAACGGGATGTAAGGGACAAAACCACTGAAAGAAATTGGGGCAAGTTGAAACAGTGGCCTAGGAGCATACGATAGTTAATGTGAATACACAACGTTGCCTTAATAATTCGACAAATCGTCTAACAGGCAATTTTCAGACGTCCCTACAAGTTTGCATGTGACTATCAGGCAGAGTTACTTCTTGTAGGTAATCAGTATTCCAGCATTAAGAGAAATAATCAATGCGGTTAGCCTTCCACATCACTGGAAGTGAGCCGATCAGGATTGCATTCACGATATCCCAATTTGCCTACGCAATTTTGCAAATAACCTACTTATTCCTCATAATTCATTTCAAAACCCTTATTGCGCAACTATAAATTGTACAATTGGAATTACTGTAGATTTTAAAGCCAAGAATAATTTTAAACAGTAAATACTAGAGTGAGGAGATCGAAATAAATAAGGAAATTCGGGATTAATGGCAAACATAGAACACCCAAGAACTAAGAACCTATACATAAGGCAAATAAAGTATGTGTTCACCTTGGCATGCCCGTATGAACAGGCATTATGCAACGGAACCAGTCCACCCTTATCCTTGGCATGAACATCCGCACCGAACTTCAACAGCACCTCCACAACCGCCAGTCGATTATATCCTGCCGCGAAGTGCAAGGGAGTTGAGTGCCTTCCGTCAATATCCCTACAATTAATAAGATCTGTTGACGCCTTTCCCACACCACCATCTCCCTTCGGATTTCGTTGATAAGCAACCACAAGACGGCAGACCAAATCAACATCGCCCGCTTTCGCGGCTTCCAACAGTTGCAAAACAACACTATTCCATGCAGAAGATGTGTTGGAAGAAGTAATTGCTGTGGCTGTTCCAGAGGACTTTTTCGAAGGTAATGGTTGAGAAGGGGTTCCAGGATTATTGGAAGGAGGATTACATCCAGATGACTGGGGAGTTGAACGATCGGAGAGGGAAACAGGTTTCTGTTTTGAGTCTGTTGAAGAAGTGGGCGATTTCAGTTCTGACGTGAGGGCTGAAATGAGATAAAAAACAGTCCTTCAATAATGCCAAATTTGATCCTTGTTGAAAGAGAGAAAACCCATGATTCAAATTAACGCCGTTTTACTAAGTCATTAACTTGAAGAAATCGTAAATAATTGTAGTGACGGGTTCATCACTAGTAGTCTTAGATAGCCACTTGGGGACGCAGAAATCAAATATCAAAAATTCACTGCGTTCTGGATAAAGCATATGTTTCAAATGAACCAAAACATATGATTAGGCTTTATAATAACTAAAAATTAATAAGAACTAAGTGAAAAAAAGGCAGAAGGGTATGATCAATAAATTTGATCCATCAGATTATACGCGTGCTTCGCTAACGTCCTAGATCCTCGAGTTTATATGCTTTCGCTTGGCACATCATGTTTCCTCATCCAAATGCACCTTATACACTCACCTTTGTGTCATAAGTGGACTTACTTATTAACCATTGATTTTTCATCCTACAGCCTCGTCACTCTTTAGACTACATAAATTAAGATATTTCACTTTAGACACACCCCCTTTGGCTTCAAATTCCCACTCTTACCTCCATTTCACACTTTTCCTAAAGTTCATTAAAATGTGGATTCTATGCATCATGATTGAGGAACCTCACTCAGAAAGGGAACCCTTTGTTTGATAAGACATTCATGGATAAAGTAAAGAGGAATAGCGATTCCTATTTCTAGGGAAATAATTACCAACTTAAAGAAAATCTGGGCTATAAGAGTGAAGTGTAAATATCGGTGGAGCATTGTTCCTCAGGCACAATGATCAATAAGTGACAAATTTCCGGGTGCATTAAGTCTCAGAAAAAAGTGTGATTGAAGTAGACCGACAAAAATATCGATTCAAACACTTACATCGGATACAACCCGAGTCTTCCAACACCTCTGACACATAATAATAACTGGCCAATACTCTTCCGAGATGAAATTAAAAACAATTTCTCATGCCACAATGTCTTCTTTACAATCTCCTCTCCTTATTCTGAATAACGCATAAACAATGCCCAAATAACTCACAAGTAAAAGGACTCCTACAGGAGGGAATGAGATCACAATCAATAACATCAGGATACACAGCACCACCCATCCCTGGTTCCAACAACATGCGCCGAACACGATCAGAAACAGCCAACTGAAGCGCTGTCTTGCTTCCTGCCACAGGACAAGTTATCAAACCTCTATCCGCTCCTAAACTATCTAAAAGGAGTCGGACAGCTACTGCATGACCATTGGCCGAAGCCAGATGAAGTGGTGAGTAGCCCTGACTATCCACAGCATTCACTGTCGCTCCATGTTGAGATAAGGTGAGAATTGCTTCCATACAACCCGATGCTGATGCCAAGTGAAGAGCAGTGCGACCTTCAGCGTTACGTTCATGCAGGCTCACACCCCTGAGAGAGAGAGAAATCAATGATAAATTGCAAACTTCTTAAATACAAATAAGTAGGTAGGTTCGGGCTAATTCACCTGGAGATTAAGAACTCGATTAACTGTCTCCTGAGACTTAATTTTATATCTGTGATTTCTTCACCTTCTCGAATAGTTCGGTCAGCTTTGCAGGCCATGTGGAGAGTGGTATCACCACTAAAAGGGTGTCGGAAGTGGATTAGATCGGGGGTTCCGTTTGAAGAAGATGGTGAGATGGGGGACTTTTTGCTGGGAGCACCTGATTCACCAGGAATTGAGGGAAGCGGGGGTTCCATATTGGCGGCTGCAGCAGCGATGGAAAGAGGTGGCGTCTGACTGTTGGAAGAGGAAGCTGTCTTGTGAACATCGTCCGTGGAATTGAGGAGACGTTTGACCAGAACGAGATCGCAACAACGGCACGCCTCCAGCAAAAGATAACCTATGATAGCGCAAAATAGCATTATTAAGGAGAGTTAGGTTTTATTTACCCTTCTGTCTATTTGCAAGTGGACTAAGGCTTGTTCCGAGAAAAATGAAGGCTGGAGAATAAGAGATAAGTGAACAGTAATAACTATATCCGTTGCCATGGGATATCTTATGATTGCGATAGACTTACCTCCACGTGGTGCACCCTGGGCAACGTATACTCATACGGCAAAAAGTCTATTAACCGGCAGTTGACTTCTAACTTCAAACTACGATGACCCCACTGTATGTAATATTCGACTACTTTCACAGTACTCACCTCACCTTTTTCCACTTTTGTGTCTGTCTCTTTTACATCTTTGAAAATCTCTTCTGTTCCCCCTCTCCCTCTCGACTTGTTTCACTTTGTTGTTCCTCCTCTGTGAAGCCTGAAGTCAACTAAAGGGCTAATGATAACAATCACAACGCCTGTCATTCGATATAAATAAATGATTGAAAAATCACGATACATATTCGGCTAGATCTTCACCCATCGTTGATTTTATGACACAACTGGAATTGGCCAAATTGGGCTTCTCTTTAGTTAAGACTCTGAGTGCTCAATATGCAGCATTCTACATCATAGAAATGAAAGTAAACCAACCAATACGAACTCACACCGCTTCTTGTATCTTTGTGCTAAGCAAAAGCACTAGTTTCAGGATGTGTTTTAACGTAATGTGATTACCGACCCATTCAAATTCAAGTTCAATATACTTATCCAAATGTTTCTTCGTATCATACAGCAACCAAGTTCAAATTTTCGGATATTGATAAGTGGTAAATAACTTACAGGCGCATAATTTTCAAAATAATTAACTTTTTCCCCGTTAGTTGGATACACCAACCAGCTAGATAATTTCAACCTGCTTCAAATGGCTTTGTAGAGAGAGAAGATGAGCACATCGCGGAAGAATTATATGATAAGAGAGGGATAAAATGAGATTACTTTGATCAATAAATTGGGGAATAAAATAACACTGGTTCATGGAGTGTTATTGGTTATACAAGCTATTATTGACCACATTTAAAGTTTGTGATGAAGTTGTGTGCGTGGGTGTGTGTGTGCCACACCAAAACAAATTCACATACAGACAAAGGCTACTTTTGCCGCTGCTAACGAATAATCAGTCAACCAATGGCTGCGCGTAAGAGAGCGTGGACAAAAGCATAACAACAATTGTTCAAAGTGCGAATTGGAAATGAAGTGGAGGTAAAAGTGAGAGGGGGGAGAGGGAGAGGAATTCAACAAAACCACACAAGCACACACACACACATGCATGTTGCCAATAAACGGGAGAGAGAGAGAGAAGGTTGGGCGTCATAGGCCTAGGAATAACTGTTTACTGCCTTAGCAGAATAAATTGGCCTTGCAGATTAAGACGTCGTGTTATGAAAGACTGACTTGAACCAACCCTGCATATTAAATCCTCGATGTTTTGTCCCAAGCAGTTTTCAGTATTCTTCAACCCTTAGTTATTCGAACTAAGCATAGTTTCGTGGGGCATCAGCAATTATATTATAGGCAATCAATTCTTAGCGGTAATAGTAATTTCCTAATATAAAGATAACCGGGTAGGTAAAACAGGTCTCCCATAATGCTTAAGGGGGGGGGGGGTAGGGGCACACCGTCAGCTTGTCTAAACTGGCAAGATTAATCTAATTTCACTTTCATTAATCTTCATTAGAAGTCAGGAAACAAGTTCAAGTAATACTGTCAAAATTGTAAGATCGCCCAAGAATCCACATATTGGCAAACAAGTAAATGCATGATCTCGTGAACTCCCAGCGTACAACCCCGCTGTAGTAGATTTTCCGACTAGTAGTCTTGCGTCGCCCCCCCCCCTGTGCATGAAACAAGCTAAGAGGTGCCTATAAGGGCTTCAATGTTCCCGCTGCACAGCATGCGCCTGGTAAAACGCAAATTTTGGTAGAAGAGGTAAGTGGTCAGAGACTTGTAGAATAGATCTACCAATGTATGGAGAGACGGGGTGTGCGATAGACTTACCTCCATGCGGTGCACCCTGGGCAACGTATATTCATACGGCAAAAAAGTTTATTAACCGGCAGTTGACTTCTAACTTCAAACTACCATCACCCCGCTATATGCCATATTCGACCCCTTCCACAGTACTCATCTTACCTCTTTCCCTACCTTTATGTCTGTCTGCCTCTTTTACATCTGTGAATCGCTCTTCCGTTCCCCGCCCCTCGACTTTCTGCTACTTTGATGAACCTTCCCTCTGTGAAGCCCGAAGTCAGCTAAATGGCTAAAGATAGCTATCAAAACGCCTGCCATTTGAAATAAGTAAATATGTATGGAGAGACAATTACATCTCCAATTAATCTAACTAGATTACTTACATTTCCATAGAGTCGCATTGATGAATGAAAGACAAAACATATAGGTATGGATATAGGTCTATTTTGGGAAATGCAAATAAATTTTTCTGGAAACGGATTTTGTGTCCTAGTTAATTAAAATTATTTCCAAGACAGAGACATTAATGCTAGATAATTATTTCACTAAAATATTTCATTTTCAAAAAGAGATTATTAAAAATTATATCGCCTCCAATGAGTTTCATACTATTTTTTTACTCTTAGTACGCATGATCATGTGAATCGCCTGAAGGTCATAGCCAAACACACAGCTTCCTTTTCACAAGTCCCCAAAATGACTTCCTTTTCGACTGGGAGATCGATTTTAAAGAACTTAGAGAAAAAAGTTCCAAAGTGGAGAGGAAAGGTGAGATTTTATACAATAAGTGCGCAAGTAGGCAAAATACTGATTACTTTAGGGAGGACGAATTCGTTTGAACTTGTTCACCCAATTCTAACAAGTCCAAATTTTGTAGAAACCTCAGAAACCTATGCATTTTCTACGCTAATACTATTTAAAACGAAATCTTGCTTTTTGTCCACACGCTACACCAAACAAAAAGTTAATCACGAAGACAAGCAACCAGAAAGCATGAGCACACACACATCACCGAGTGAACTTTCTGC